TCGCCCATAACACCCCCCTATCGGTCGCGGTCTCGATCAAATTCTTTGCCCACCAACGGCTTGATTTCGCGGGGCTTGTCTTTCGCTGCGGCCTCCCACGCGGCAAAATCTCTTTTCACACGGGCAACGGAGCGCGTTTCATCTATGTGCCGCCAATATCGATCCCATCGGCCTTCTTGGCGCGGTGCTTCTGGCTCGTCCATGGCTTCCCCCTATCTGTCGCGGTCGTAGTCGCGGGATTTGTCACGCTGCGGTAGCGGCTTGATTTCGCGGGGCTTGTCGTTCGTCGCCCTGCTCCAATCCTTGCGTGGTGCCAACTCTGGCGCCTTCGTCGCCGGCGCCGGCGCCGCAACTTTCGACCAGTCTTTTTTAGGCGATGCCGGCGCGGCCTGTCCGTGCTGCTCCATCGCCTTTTTCCCCTCGGCGGTCTTCGCCCATTGCGCTGCGCGATCGACGGCCGGAACCTCTGCCGATCGGCGATCGGGCGAACGCGTCACGCCTGCGGGCGATGGTGCTGGCGATGGCGTCGAAAGCTGAACGGTGCGCGTCGGCTCTACCTTCGGCGCGACCGGAATCCGGTTGGTGCGGTCGTAGGCGTCTTTCATGGCGGCCTTCTCCTGCTTCGGCTTTTCTGGCGTCAGTGGGCGGGTCTGTCCGCGCTTCCATGCCTTCGCCCCATAATCACGGCGGCGGGCGTGGAAAGCCTCCTGTGCGGCTTCACGGCGGGATGCTGGATCAATGGCGGGTTTCGTCCTGGTGCGGTCGTCCCGGGCTTGCGCCTGGCTGTCACCCCGCCCCTTCAATTGCGCCCATGCTTCGCGGATTTTTCCGCGCTCGAGATCCTGACGGGCAATCAGATCCTCGCGACCTTTTCCGAACCCCTGACGCTGTGCCGATAGAGCGGCGTCACGCTCGGCCTTCAATCCTGCAATGGTCGCGTCTAGCTGCGCCCGCGTCGTCTTCGATAGCGTTTCGCGCCCCTGTGCCTGCCGCTCCTGCAACGCGGCAAGGCGGGATTGCGACGACAGAACATTGTTGAAGGTCAGGGACAAAAGCCCCTTATCGGGAGCCTGCCCCATGGCCTGCTGATGTGCGGCGGCATCCAATGCGTTTTTGATCCGGCCGCGCAATGTCAGCTCGCGGAACCGGAACGCCTGATCCTCGGCGCGGGCGGTGTGAAAATGCTCCCGCCATACGGGTTTCATCGCGGCCTTATGCTGCTCGGCCGCTGCGGCGATCTTGCCGCCAAACTCGGAATAAATGGCCTCTTTCGCTGTCTTATGCTGCGCGGAGAGGTCAACCCATTGTTGGCGGTGCGCAACCTTCTGCGCCTCGCCAAGCTCTTTCAGCATCGCCGCGGGGGTCTTGTCCCGCGGGGTGTTTTTCACATGCTCACGCCGCGCGGCCTGATCGGTGAATTGCTGCCGGAGCTGCCGCTTTTCCTCCCGCAGCGGTGTTAATATAAGGCCGCGTTCCCGCTCGTAGGCGTTCGCCCAGTCGGACAAAATCACGCGGTCATTGCTGAAAGCGTGCATCTTGCCCGTGGCAGGATCGACCCGATTCAGCACCACATGCACATGCGGATGCTTCTGATCCTGATGGCAGATCAAAACCGCCTGCAGGTGATCGGCACCAAGGGCTTTTAGCGAGCTGTCGGCCGCCCGCACCATCTCGGCGCGGTCAAGCTTCCCCGCCTCGTCCGGATGCCATGCAAGGCTGAAGGCGTAGACATGGGCGTTCGATTTCCGCCCCGTGTTCTTGATGCCCGCTTCGGCCTTCAGGCGGTCAGCGTCTTTGGCCGTCGCAACCATGATGCGGGTGGCAAGCTCGGGATCATCGGTCGCGAGATTGCGGGTTTCCGTCCATGCGATGCGCTCGGCCGTGGTCGGGTTTGCCCCGCCCTCCTGCCGCTTGTCGTGCAGGTAATAGGCCATCGCGCCTTTGAAGCTGTGGCCTTTGCTGGCGATGTCAGGAACCATCGCGGCCGATCCTCCCCATGACGGTTTGCAGCTCGGAAAGGGTGGATTCCAGCTTGCCCGCCAGCACCTTCCCAAGGTGCGCCGCGTGGGCGATCTGGTTCATGTTCACGCCGATTTTGTTGAGGGCGGAAAGTGCCATGTCGTCGGCCGATGACACCCGCTCGGCAACCTTCTGCCCGAGGATCACGCGGCGGCAGAACTCGGCCACGTCCAGCCCTGCGGCGGCGGCCAGTTCCTCGACGCGGACACGCTCGGCCATGGTCAAGCGGATACCGGAAAGCCGCTCTGTGCGAGCCTCTTCCGGTGCCAGCTTCGGCCGACCAATGCGCGTCATGTCACCCTTCATGCAATGCCCTTTTTAGGGGGGACGGGGGGAAGCTAGCTCCCTCCGTCAAGCGTTTTTGGGTACCAAAAACATAGCTTGCTACTCCCCTTTCCATAAACCATAATGCAAGCCTTGTTAAGTAGTGGTTAAGGCCAAATGTTCCGCCGTGTAACAGGGGGATTCCGCCCATGCTGACGCCGTTCAAGGAAGGCCAGATTTACCTCGGTCACGACCCTAAAGCCGGACACGAAACAGGCATCACGATTGACCGCCACGTCATCACCGTTGCGGGCTCCCGTGCCGGAAAGGGTGCATGCCTGCTCATTCCCAATCTGCTCCGGTGGCCGGAATCCGCTCTGGTCGTCGATCCCAAGGGCGAGAACGTCGAAAAGACGTGGCAGCGGCGGGAAGCCATGGGGCAAACGGTCGGCGTGCTCGATCCTTTCGAGGCGGCCGATATCCCCGCCCGCCTGCGCGTCAGCATCAACCCGCTTTCCGGAATCGACCCTGCCAGCCGCAACGCTCGGGGCGACGTCGAAACCATAGCTGACGGGTTGGTCAAACGATCTGATCCCAAACATGCCGAATGGGATGACGGGGCGGCCTCGGTCGTTGCTGGCGTCATTGCCTATGTGCTGGCGGAAGCTCGGGAGAGCGCAACCCTGCCGCTGATCCGCGCCGTACTCCTGCAAGGGAAAGATGACCTCTACGCTGACGCGCAGAGGATGCTTGATTGTGACGCCTGCGGCGGGCTGGCACGGGCGGCGGGCTCCACGATCATGACCGCCCTTGAAGCCGACAAGGGCATGGAAAAGGACTTTTTGGCGGGAGCGAAACGTCACACGGCATGGCTGGATGACCCCGCTATGGCGGCCATTCTCGGTGCATCGTCGCTGCGCCTGTCAGACCTGAAAAACGGGAAAACAACCCTCTATCTCGTCCTACCGCCCCACTACATCGACACGAAAGCCGCCTTCCTGCGCCTGTTCACGCGGGCGGCCATCAACACCATGGCGGCGGGCGGCTCCGGCACTGGCGGGCGGTGCCTGTTCCTGCTGGATGAGTTCTACGCCCTCGGCCGCCTCGATATCGTCGCCAAGTCGGCGGGGTTGATGCCTTCCTATGGCGTCCACCTGTGGCCGTTTCTGCAAGATATCGGGCAAATTCAAGATTTGTATGGCACGGCCGGAAGTGAAACCTTTTTCGGCAATGCTGACGCGCAAATCTTTTTTGGCATAAACGACAATATCACCGTGGCTTTCGTCACCGCAAAGACGAAAATCTACGGAACTGCTGGCCACGCCGCCAGCCCGCAGCGCGACACCGCGAAAAAATCTGGTGATCCGACCGCGAAGCTTGCCTATGTCTTCACGCGGGCGGACGGCCTGCACACCGTTGCTTTGCAGCCCTACTTCCAGCCAGCACCGCAGCCCCCCGAACCTTACCCTCACGGCCTGTCCGAAACGGACAATCAGCGCATCTGGGCTTTCCTGTTCGTGGGTGCCACCCTCCTGACCTTGGGCAGCGCAGCGGCTTTATTCGCGCACACGCATCAAGTCTGGGGGTGGTTTGCCCTCATCTGCGGCGGGCTTCTGATGTCCGTGCTTTACGATCAGTACAAGGACGAGCGGTTCGCCAAGAAAAGGTGGGGGTAGATCGCGGGCGGCGATTCTCCCACCCTCGCCTTTCATGTTACCCTTTCATGTCACTGATTCATTTAGACCATGAAAGGGGGTGTTATATGGCGAAACTGTCGGCATCAAAGGCCGCGAAAGAGACGGGCGTTTCGATCCCAACCATTACCAGAGCAATCAAATCCGGCAAATTATCGGCCGATAAGGTCGCGGGCGGCGGGTATCAGGTCGAGACCTCGGAACTGTTCCGCGTCTTCCCTCCCATAACGCAACCCTCTAACGATACCCCCTCAATGTTAGGACGTGAAACCCCTAATGATAACGGGGTGTTACAGGTCGAAATTCAGATGTTGCGTGAACGTCTGGCCGATAAGGACGGCGTGATTGACGATCTGCGGCAACGGCTCGATGCGGAAGCCGAGGAACGCCGCAAGCTCACCCTGATCCTGACCGATCAAACCGCCCGCCCTGCCCCTCCGGCTGCGCAGGAACGGCCTCGGCGGCGTTGGTGGCACATCGGCAAGGCCAACGACTGAAAGCCCCTGTGCGAGGCTCCTAGGCGATTTGCGGCGAGGGGGGTGTTATCGGGTGATGCGGTAGGATGGGAAAAGGTTATCGACGGTAGGAATCAGGTTTTCCACCGTTGGGATCAGGCTTTCAATCGCAAAAGGCGAAGCATAGCTATTAAAGAAATCAGTCAATTGCATTATTTATTTCTATACGAATCGCTTCGATATTGTCAATTACTTCGATTTTGTCGATCAAATCCGGCCGGAACCCTGACCAGCTAAGGGAACCTGCGACGACGACAGGGGCGGCCTTGTATCCATGCGCCTGCGCCAGCTCCATGGCCGCCATGGAACCCTTGAGCCATTCGAGGCGGTACGGAATGCCCCGCCGCTCCAGCCATTTCTTGGTGCTGTCGCAGGCGGCGCAATTCTCGGTCGTGTAGACGGTGACCATCCGGCCTATTCCTCGGCCTCGCCTGCCTTGCGGGGCAGGATCACGGCGCGGTTGGTGAATTGCAGCCCATCGTCAAGCTGGATCGAAAACCCGCCCTTGATCGGCCATGCGCGGCCTACCTTCGTGTAAAATGTCCGTTTCTCGCCGTTCGCTTCGTATTCACGGGTTGCCAACAGGTCGAATTGCTGTTTATCTTCGCTCATTCTCAAATCTCCATGTAAATCAGTTGCATAAAATCCACTATTGAAGCGATTTTAGGCTCTGATATTGAAGATTTGTTTAAGTGTTTATGTGAAGTGCTTAGGGCTTCGCCCTCGGCGCGGCACAAGAACAATCAGCAAGGCCGTGGCTCAGTCGCTAATCCGCTCCCTGCGCCCGCACCAACCTTGCAGATTCTTCTTGCACCTTGCACACCCGCGCTCGCCGCTAAGGCAGGGTTGCAAATGGGATTTGCACCCGCCTTTCTACGGTTTCCGCTCGATCTGGGCAGCTCTGCAACCCGCAGACAAACAGGGCTATCAGCCCCGCAAAGCCTGTTTTCTGGCCTGAAAATTGCTGTTCCCTGTTCGATGCTCGCTGCAAGCGTGCTTCGAACCCCGCCCACAGGCGGAACGATGTTCCCCGTCCCGATGCAATCCACCCACCGCCATGAGGAAGGTTGTCACCGAAGGCCGTAACGCAGTGAAGGACGCGAAGCGTTGACCACCTGACGACGGCGGTATGATTGGGGCATGGATGGAAACAAAAGACCGATCCGCGAAGCGGATTCCGATTCCTCTTTTCTGCCCCTGTGAAAAGCCGCCTTCTCCTCCATGGCCTCTCTACAGCGCCTCGTGGGGGCGCGTTCGGCCATGGAGCGGCGGTTTTCAGCTCCCCTATGAGACAGAGAAAAGGGCAGAATCCAAAGAGCAGTAAAAACAATGACTTACAGAGGGCATAGGTGACGCCTGTTTGTCACCAATAGGTGACATAAGCTGTGTCACCTATCTGCCGGATAACTGCCAAGCTTGGCACGATTAGGCTTGAAAATGTCAGCGGTTGTGACACGATTTGTCACCAATACCGGACACGATTCGGCCACCCCCCACGAAAGGAAAAAGGAGCATGCAAGCCCTGACAGATAACCCCGACGATCTCGCCACACCTGAACGCCGGAACCGCTTCGCCAAGGTCTATAACAAAGGCTGGGACACCATCGCCAATATGGCGGGGAACGCCATGGCCGTGAAGGTTTACAGCTTCATAGCGAAGCATTGCGACCACCTAAACGCGCTCGTTTGCCCTGTCGAGGTGATGGCAGAAGAATTCAAGGTATCAGCTCGCACGATCATGCGGGCAACAAAATTCCTCGAAGACAACAAGCATCTGGTGATTGTGAAGGTCGGCACGGCAAACGCCTATATCCTCGACCCTACAGACCTGTTCAAAAACTACGATCAGTACAAGCATATGGTCGGGTTCAACACGCGGACACTGGCCAGCAAATCCCAAAATCAGAACCTGAAAGCCCGCCTGACGCACTACATGGGGCAGGCTGATCTATTCGACGCCGAGACAGGCGAGATTAAGGGTCGCAATTGATGCCCGCTCGGGCTTCTGCTGTCGTGGCATGCGGCCTTCTCCTGAGCGGGTGCAATGATGGGGCGGGGGTTTACACCCTGTACCGCAACAGCCCCGCCGCCGAAGGCATGCGGATTCATGTCGCCTCTTTCGATTCCAAGGATGGCGACGACTACAACCGCGAAAATTGCGATGTTGCCGCCAAGCTCTATCGAGGGCAGGCGGGCGTCACAGCTCGGTTTTGGTGCGAGAAAGGGGCATTCCGCCGCTGATCCTGTCGCAAGTATTCGCGCATGATCGGGCGGCCTCTGGTGGGTACCTTTTACTGGCGGCCGGAAATAAAAAACCCCTGCCATGGTGTGCAGGGGCTTTTTCATTTGGCGAGGACTGCGCCGCTACTTAAAATCTGGTTCCATAATGGAGATTATCAGACTGGAACCCGCAAACGATAATGGCGATTTCGACCCGTATCATACGGCCGAAACCCGCCGCCTCTGCTCTCGGCGTTGCGCCGCCCGTTCGTTCAATGCCTCGGCCATGCCCCTGTAGAACAACAACCGCTCATGCATCAGCGTGCGGGCAAACCCTCTCGGCATGGTCAGGAAGGCATTGCGGGCAATGTCGGCCTTTGCCTCGTAGACCTTCGCGGATCGGCGGATACGGCGCACCATGGCTTACTGCATCAGCTTGGGCGGCGAGAATGCAGGGCGCGGGTTCAATTCAGCCTCCCGCTCGGCCGCCTGTATGGACAACGCCTGTTCATCGATCAGGAAGGCAATGCGGTCTTCGACGGCCTCCCCGCAATGTTCGGCCGGAATCTTCCACCGCGCCAACGCCTCTAGGCACCAACGCGGGATTTCCAGCTCAACCCTGATTTTTTCGTACTTGTCGCCCATAACACCCCCCTATCGGTCGCGGTCTCGATCAAATTCTTTGCCCACCAACGGCTTGATTTCGCGGGGCTTGTCTTTCGCTGCGGCCTCCCACGCGGCAAAATCTCTTTTCACACGGGCAA